CTTTTTTTTTTTTTTTTTTTTAATTTATTTTAACCCAATGTTTTAGTAGTAAAGCAGTTGGCAGATGAGAAGTCTTGTATTTTTGTAGCTAGCCTGGACTTCTCCCAAACGAGGGCTGGTCCAGATTTCTCTTTCTGATGCTGGACTTATGGAGCTTAAATGAGAAATGATGATTCATTGCAAATATGTGTCTTGGGTGATTTATCAAGCCCTCATTTACACATGAAGGTATGAAAGCAAATTATCACAAAAGGGGAGATGCTAGATGCTTCCCACCGGGATGAGGAGCAGGGCTGCCCTGTAAAGTCAGGTGGATATCATCAGGAAACCAGAGCAAAATTACTTTGCTGTAAGATTTGATTGAAAGCCTGACCTTTTCCTCAGCAGGGAAAGCTAGGCTGAGGGAAGCTGACCTCCTTGGACAAGTTGTTCTCTGCAGTATGAAGGGGACTCATCCTCTCTTTTATCAGCTTAGAGACCAGCTAGAAATGCCTTTCACTGTGATTAGCTCAACTCTGCTTGTACTCTTTAACACCTCTTTGTGATGCCTTTTATTGGTATTTCCCACTCTGTGACAGATAAAAACTGTGTTAACCACACATAGTTGCAGGCTGAAACTCTGCACATGGGCAACCCCCAAAGAGGAAAGGACATAGGTAGGAGTAAGAGCCTTGATGGTTGTTCAAGTATGGTTAAAAGAGCCCATCAGAGATGGTTAAAAGAGTGGTATTTTCCCACTCTTGTAAGCTATTAATTCTTTTAACCTAATTAATTTAAGCTAAATTGCCACTGCTTTCTGTGGACAGTGTTTAGCAGGATATTTCCTATACAATATAAATTTCCTGGGCATTTGCTGATGTTGATTTATTCTTTTCCCAGTGCAGTGGACAGCTCAGAAATCGACTTCAGGTTTTCTTCTGTGTGTTTTCTGTACAAACCTCAGCATGGAATCACAGTGTGTCCATGTAGGGCCACTCAATTAACAATCCGGACTGAAACGGCACCAAGGGAAGCTCCGTGTACTGAATAAATCTGATTTAATTTGCACATTGACCTGACAGACCATAGCATGTCCTTGGAGCCATTTCCCAGCTAATGTGTTAGTCCAGGTAAACTCTGCACCACCCTCACTACCAAAAACACAGAGTAGTGTTTTTAACTGGGAGCACAACTTCCATACAGAAATACAGGTTGAAATAAGCAGACAGGTGTTTCCCGCTGTCCCCATGGTCACAGCATCAAGACACTAATATCCAAAATGATGAGGGAAGTAGCTGGAAAACTCACAGTGAGTTTGTAAAAGCCTTTGAAAGGCTCAGAAGGACCTCAGCAACCTGTGCTGAGCACATGAGTGCGTGGATCTTAAGATGTGCAAGAGATGTGCTGTTGGCTATCTTGATATAACACTGACTGTCTTAGCCAATCTGCACGTACAGTTCCCTAGTGGCAGAGAATATGCTTTTAAAATACTTCTTTAAAGGCTGAAATATGCTTTTTATAATGGTTTTATCAAAAGCAATATAAAGTGTCAAACTCATTCCAGTTGCAATTCATTGACTTTAGTGCCATGGCAATAAAAATGAATTTGGCCTGTCGAAGGAGAATGTGTTGTCAGAT